GGAAATGGGTTATCGACTCATATATAACAAACAATTGGATACCACATTTATAATAGAAGACAGTTGGGATATTGGCTATGTTAAATATAATTCCAAGAACTGGAGAATTGAAACACAAGCAAGAATGATAGAAGCAGTTGGGATGTTAGCTATGATAAATATGACTCCAAGAACTGGAGAATTGAAACACAAGCAAGAATGATAGAAGCAGTTGGGATGTTAGCTATATTAAATATAACTCTAAGAACTGGAGAATTGAAACACAAACAAGAATGATAGAAGGCAGTTGAGATGTTAGCTATATTAAATATAACTCCAAGAACTGGGGAATTTAAACACAAACAATAACTGTCTTCTATCATTCTGTAAAACGGAGACCAGTCTCAATCACAACATAAAAATAAAAAGACCATGGCTGTAAAACAGAGACCAGTCTGAATCACAACATAAAAATAAAAAGACAATGGTTGTAAAATGGAGACCAGTCTCAATCACTACATAAAAATAAAAAGACTATGGTTGTAAAACGGAGACCAGTCTCAATCACAACATTAAAATAAAAAGACCATGGCTGTAAAATGGAGACCAGTCTCAAATACTACATAAAAATTTAAAAATGTTATAATCAACACCAAAATAAGTTTTATTTTACAGAATTATACTTTTTTGTTGTAAGATATACATAAGAACCGAAGTATAAAAAGCTTAAATCTCTTGGGAAGTGTAAACAGGCCTTCAAACAGTGAAAAGGTTCATTAGAATACCTGACTGCAGTATTCAAAAGCAGAAAATAAAGGAAATTAATTAATATTAATTAATAATAGCTTTACTTTATAGCTTTGATCAATTCCTAACACAAGTTCATTTAACAAAATTATATAATAGTTTTATTAAATGCCCACTTTTTTCAACTACAGTTTTCTGTAAAATTCTAATTTTTCAGCAAAGTTGTTGTCTACACACCACAACTCTGTTTTCCTTCAAAATAAATTTCTGTAACAGCAAAATTAAGCATGTAAATGTGTGGGAAACATGTTAGTGTACATTTTTCACGTATATATATCTGTAAATCCACTTTCACAACACTTTAAAAAATATTGTATTTACTTAAGTTCTGTGGGGTTCAGAAGGTCACGACCTTTTATGAAAAACTTACAGTTGTTCTCACACAGGTGTATTAAAGGCAATGTTTAATAGTGCACAAATATTTAAAACGAGGCCATCCCAGTATATTTTACTGTATAAAGATAAAATAAAATACTGTGAGACTGGGAACAGTCTCATACCCTATACATGTTTTGACATCTTACTGTGTCATCATCAGAAGTGCAATATTTTGTACGAGTTAAGACCTATATACAGTTTCAAAAAATCATGTGATCAAATTTACATACAAGTTAACTTAAAAAGTTCCATAACATCTATCAAAAACATTTGTCTCTTATTAATACTTTAAAATTAATTTCATTACATTTAATTATCTTCATGGATAGTATAACTGCTGATGTTTGCAGGTTGTGTTAAAATAAGTTTTTTTACCTTGAATCAAGTGTTTAATCTGTAAATTAAATTTCTTGTAGTTTGTCCAAAAAGAATATTTCCACATTTGCATGTTATTTTGCATATACCAGTTTTATCCATTAAATAAATTTTATTTATTTAATACATCTGTGGTAGGAGTTGATAAACCAAGTAAACAAGTACAACTGAGTATAACTATAAAACAAAAAAAGAGCTCACCATCATGAACAGTAATGGAGATGCTGCTATGATTATCTTTTTCCTTCCTTTCTCGCTTCGTATTTTCAACGTTTTGAAGAGATTTGAGAAACACCATTCTTTCTTGTCTAAAATGTTCTTTCTTTTCAACACTTTTCTTAGAACCCACTGCTGTATGTCTGAACTTATTAGAACTTGAAGAATCACTGCTATTCTCTGATCTGCCACAGATATTTACCTTTTGATCTTCAGTTGTGGAGCTACTACTTGGAGACCGTTCATTACTTGAACTTCTAGTTCTATTAGTTTTATGTCCAACTGTTCGAACAACACTCAAAACAGATTTAAAGCTTGAACTTTTACTACTGTTCTGGTCTTTGTTTCTAACTTTTTCTGGAGAGAAAGACCATTTCTGTTTTATCCAGTTTTCACCCGTTTTTCTACCTCTGGGAGATTTTGCATAAAAATGAGTATTAGTGTCACTCCTGGATTTCTTAACTAAAGAAATGTCAGAAGCTTTAGCAAATGTTTTAAATCTAGCAAATTCGCTATCAGAGTCACTATCTATATCATCTAAAACATTTGCACCAATGTTGCTGCTTAACTTAGACTCACGATGTGCTTTCTTCTTCTCTTGAGTGTCTCTAGTACTGATCTTGTCACCACCTGTAACATCATTTTCATCAAACTTTTTCACCATTGCTTCAGAGTTTCTTTTTGTCATCAAAGGTTCAAACGTTTCGTTTTTGATATCCTTGTCACCTTTTCTTGCTTTGTGTTCTTTTTTATGTTTATGAACACATTTCTTAGGTACATATTTGTCGAGGACAATGTTTGTTTCACTTTCTCTACTTTCTATATTAATCATTTCCTTTTCATCAATTTTACCTGCGACTCTGGGGTCAGTTCTACCTAAAACACTTGAATTTTTTGATACTTCTTCTGCTGTACTTATAGTACAATCCTTCTTTTCTAGTAAACATTCTGTATGAATGGCTTTGATTTCTTCTTCTTCTTCTGGACAAATCACATGCTCAGATGTTTCACTTTCTTTAACATCATGATTGATTGGCTCATCCTTTTCTGTGTTTATCACTTTTCGTTTTTTTATTGGAGTACAATCTACACTGCTGATTGACTTGCCAGGTTCTAGCGTATCTGAACTTCTTGTATCACTGTCACTTTCTTCACTCTTGTGCATTTCACTTGTATCATAAGAATTTTCTTCGTTCGTTACTTCAAGGTTATCTCTTTCGTCATCTGCCTTCCTGCTACTGATTAACATTGTGTCACATTCAAAATCTGACTTGCTTAGTAAATCTGTGTCATAATCCACTGTACTGAGCTTGTCCTCATCTGAATCACTTTCTTCACTCTCCGAGTCCGATTCCAGTCGACTGAACCTCTCAGGAACTATATAAATATAATTCTATTTAATACTTCCAATACAAAATATTGCAGAAGTCATAGAATGTGCTTTAATGCCCTAAAAACATACTTAAAACTAATATGTTAAAATTTAAGATACATAATAAACAAACTTTAGAGAATTAAACTTGTCAACTACAGATCCTACTGCACTGAAGCATATACAAGTGTAAACTTGTCAACTACAGATCCTACTGCACTGAAGTATAGACAAGTGTAAACTTGTCAGCTACAGATCCTACTGCATTGAAGTATAGACAAGTGTAAACTTGTCAACTACAGATCCTACTGCACTAAAGTATAGACAAGTGCAAACTTGTCAACTACAGATCCTACTGCACTGAAGTATAGACAAGTGTAAACTTGTCAGCTACAGATCCTACTGCACTAAAGTATAGACAAGTGCAATCTGTCATGAACTACAAATCACAAAAGAATGATTAAAAGATTATGATATATACATCACTATGGACAAGATAAAAAACTGTAGAATTCTCTGATGTTACACAACAGATCTTGATAAACCTGTGTTGGAAAACCAAAAGTAGATGAATGTCAAAAGTATGTAACCAAAAAACCAGCTAACTGGTGCCACATCATCTACATCAAGCCAGATATTACAACAATCTAAACTAATAAAACCATAATGGGCTATTGAAGGTTGAGTCATGCTAGCTAGGTAGTAAAATGATGCTGAGTGAGAAGAAGATCCAAGGACAATCAATGGAGGAGTAAGTACATATATAAACACTAGGGCTAATTGTCTAATCTGTAAAAAGATACAAATGTTTTGTAGTAGTAGTATAGACTTCTACGTGAAAATAATTAGCTATTTAAAAAAAAATGTAAACACTGGTGAACAGAAATATTCCAATCACTTTTGTTACAGTGGAGGACCCAGAGAGTACTGTGGTATGTAACTGGACTACAAAAGAAGTCCAGGGACTACACACATCACAAACAAACTGATGGACTTAAATGAATCTTTGCAGCAGTTCTCAATAATTTAAAATCTAAAAACAGGTTTGAAGGAAGTATCACAGCTCTATAAAGTAAATACAAATCTTACATATTTACACAAACTATTGACATTTACACATACTGTTGACCATAAACCTTGTAATTCACAATCAATCTGGCTTTATAGATAAATATTTACACATACTGTTGACCATAAACCTTGTAATTCACCATCAATCTGGCTTTATAGATAATATTTACACATACTGTTGACCATAAACCTTGTAATTCACCATCAATCTGGCTTTATAGATAAATATTTACACATACTGTTGACCATAAACCTTGTAATTCACCATCAATCTGGCTTTATAGATAAATATTTACACATATTGTTGACTATAAACCTTGTAATTCACCATCAATCTGGCTTTATAGATAATTATTTATACATACTGTTGACCATAAACCTTGTAATTCACAATCAATCTGGCTTTATAGATCAATATTTACACATACTGTTGACCATAAACCTTGTAATTCACCATGAATCTTTATAAATGATTTATTTGAAAGAACTGTATATTTTTTATTCATCTTCAATTTAAAGTGAGTAGTTTAACAATAACTAGTGAATGTTTATAATGTTATACAATTATTTACACTATATATTAAAATGTTTAAATGCTGAGTATTATGTCTTTTTCTCCATTATGAATATTTTCCTTTATGTGTTTGCAGTAATAAATTTGAATTATTTGCAGAGAACACAAATAATGCAGGACTTCTCACTAACCTTTTCCTTTAGAATCTGACAACTGAGGAGATGAGGATCCTTCATCAACAGGACACCACCTGTCTTGTGGTCTGAGCATAGTGGAGGAAAGTTGCTTTTGTTTGATCGGCTCTTTAGTAGCCACGCTATCATTAGAAAGATCTTCTGAAGGCACAGTGTTGATTACTATCAGGTTTGGCCGAGCTGGCTTGTTAAAAAACTAGAAATCAAGTGATGTGGATTAGAAGAAACAAAGACTGTGTTTCAATTCTCCAGTTCTTGGAGTTATATTTAACCTAGCTAACATCCCAACTGTCTTCTATCATTCTTGTTTGTGTTTCAATTCTCCAGTTCTTGGAGTTATATTTAATATAGCTAACATCCCAACTGTCTTCTATCATTCTTGTTTGTGTTTCAATTCTCCAGTTCATGGAGTTATATCTAATATAGCTAACATCCCCCATGGTCTTTTTATTTTT